CTAGACAACGGAAAATTCCAGAGTTAGTTCCAAGAAAATAGCTGCCAAAGAAGAGGAGATCAGTGGCCAGTGAGGAAGGTTGCAGAGTTTAGGGAAAGGAAGCCAACTATGCTTGCTTTATGAGAAATCGAGGAAGTGAAAGGATCCAAAGGATGAGAACACACTTAAGGCAACGAAGAGAGAGAAAGCCATTTTCACTGGAAATGAAAGGACAGCCTTGGTCAAGAGCCTGACATCATTTTCTTGCATCACACAAATCAATATGAGCACTCCTAAGTTATTTCTATTGTGTTTGACATTATTGTTAACGTCTATTAGTACGTATGTTCTGAAAACGGTTCTTTGGGGATCTAACCTACTCCCATAGTTGATGGCTTTTTAAATACAAATTTTAACACAGATAGTAGAATGGATTGGCAAGCTCTTTCAAGGGGATGCAGATAGGCCTCATCACAGGAATTAAAGCAAATGTTTGGGGAGACACGGTGCCAAATCATCTACACCAGACTGACAGTAGGTGTACATATATGCTGATGTATGGATGTAGATCGCCTCTGCACATGGAGAAATCCTGCCATGCATTGCACACCCATAGAAAAACATGTTTCGCATGTGCACTGAGTCAGTGAGTCTGTGATCAAAGAGTGTGTTAGCTAGTATGCCCCACTGAGGCATATTAGATCAATGGTTCTCAACCTGTGGGTCTCCAGATATTATGGCCTTTAACTCCCAGAAATCCCAACAGCTGGTAAACTGGCTAGGACTTCTGGGCATTGTAGGCCAAAACATCTGGAGACCCACAGGTTGGGAACCACTGCATTCAATGGAATTGAGTCCCCAAGGAAAGCCATGGGCACCTCCCCACACAAGTTGATTGGTCCAATGGCCAAGGATTGGTCCAAGACCATATTTACTAAAATCAGTCATGTGCTTTAGATTTAATACCCAAACATAACAATCCTCTTCACATGTTATTCATGCAGAGGGTCTCTCTATGCTTTAAAATTGCAGCTAGTTGTATTATTTGTGCCACTCATGACATTACGTCGCTCCTGACACGAAAAAAAAATGACATTGCATGGCTCTCTCTCTCTCTCCCCCCCCCCCCCCCCCCATTCATATGATAAGCCTGCATTTTTACTTAGGAAAAGATAACTCATATGGGTTACTTTCTGTGTTATTGAGAACCCTGTACAAGCAGGACCCCCAAACTAAGCCTTCTTTAGGCAATAAGCTAGAACATTACAATAAGCAAAGGACACACATATACCCCAATTCAAACAGTTTTGTCTCTATCTCAGAGCACTTGGTGTAAAGATCTGAAGATAGGCTTGTGAATGCATTCAAATAAATAATCTTGCAATTACAACAGAATCCTTTGGCTGGAGCTGCATTAACAAGTTCATCCAAATTGCTTCCAGATCTGTTTTTAGGTCTTCGTGCTATATTTCATGAAGATCCATGGAGCAGCTGGTGACAATGAAGTGCTTGGCGGTGGAGCAGGTATTCATGACCCTTCCCATCTCTAGCCCAAATCTTGCTGTTGACAAATATTTGCACTAGGTTTACAATGATGATCCGTGTTGGCTGAGGGATGGGTTTAGACTTGCACAATGCTCTTGCCTATGTAAAGTTACCTAACTAGGATAACACACAAACAGAAACTACTACTATTGTTGCAGGGATGTATGGCAAACTATATGAGTATAGTAATGTGTATATTAAAGTCTTTGATCCCTGGTAAGGCTAATGTGTGGGTGAAGTTTGGGTTTGGAGGTGAGAAGACTCAAGTTTATTTCCCATACTTCTAATTCTTCTCTTATACTTTATCTGGCAGTAAATTCACTGAATTTATTTGCATGGTTGTGTGAAAGAAGAACTGCAAAGCACTTTCTGCACTGAAAAATGCTATAAGGATTATTAATGACAACTTGTGCTTTTAACATGCTGCAGCAAGAGATGTGACCCATAGCATATTAAATTATTTGTAGTGAGCAGTTATTTGGAAATTACCGTGGCTCCAGGCCCGTAGCCATGATTTCGTTTCGGGGGGGGGGGCTAAGTTTCGGGGGGGGGGGGGAGTCTGAGTGAAAGAGGGTCTAGCCTAGCAAACCTTTTGTATCATTACCCCAATACCCCCATGCATATGGGATATATTGAGTATGGTGATCAGATCATGATATGAATAAACATAACAGTTTAAATAATGCACCAGTAAGGCCTTTTCGCGAACCACCATGAGAATTACGGTGGGGGGGGCTGAAGCCCCTGGTTACATGCCTGCGTGGCTCCCTTCCCCTTGGCAAAGTACCCCATAGGGTTCACATTTAAAAGGTCGGTTTGGGCAGTATCAGTTTAGGGAGACAGGCAATTCAAACAGCATGTTTCAGGACACACACAATTAATTAACAATGCATCAGCCTGCTTCAAGAATTACTCCTAGGTAAAGTATTATAAGGTGACAGGCAACAAACTAACACAAAGAAATCCTCCTTTGAAAGAGTGCCAAGCAGTGGTAAACAAACCCTGCTGTGATTCACACTCAACTCTTAATGGCCCTCTTCTACTCAGCCTGGATAATCCTCTGTATGTCTGAATGAAGGAACTGAAACCTGCCTAGTAAGATGCTCTTTGCCCAAAGAGCTCTTGCTATTGATATAATGGATATAATGGAGAGGCCTAGGCTGTGCTTCCTCTAGTTAAGACATTCTGCACATGGTCCATGACACGTCTCTGTAACCTTTATTATGTGCCTTCAAGTCATTTCTGACTTATAGCAGTGTGAAGACAACCTTGTCACAGCATTTTCTTGGCCAGATTTGTTCAGAAGACATTTGTCACTGCCTTTCTCTGAAGTTGAACAAGTGAGACTTGCCCAAGGTCAGCCAGAGGTTTTCATGTCTGAGTGGGAATTCAAACCTTGGTCTTCAGAGCTTCCAATACTCAAACCTCTAAACTAGTGGTTCCCCAGATGTTTTGGCCTTCAACTCCCAGAAATCCCAACTAGCTGGGATTTCTGGGACTTATAGGCCAAAACACCCAAGGACTCACAGGTTGAGAACCACTGCATTAAACCATGCTGGATTCTTGAGTCATAAAGTTAGTATGTGGAAAGGGTATGCCCTGGATAAAGAAACCCTGGCTCAACTGAAGTAGCCCAAATGAAAAAGCAGGAAGCTACTTCATCATTGTCAATGGAGGACATGAGAAAAGCCTCCCTGTTGGATTGTAACACATCTGGGCATCCCCTGGGCAACATCTTTATAGACACCTGATTCTCTCACACCAGAAGCAACTTGCAGCATGCAACCAAACAAACCAATTGACCTTTTCAGGACCAACTATGACAATAATCTCAATCAACATCAAAGGTATGTCAGCTTCCAAAGAACAACTGCTTTGCAACTGTTCAGAGATAAGAAATGTGACATGCTGTGTGTCCAAGAAACACATAGGGATAAACAACAGAAATGACCAAAAGTTCCAGGAATGACCTTAGTGATGTAAAGACTACATGCGCAATATGGAAGTTCTGTCTTTGTAAAACCAGGCCTCCAAGTCAGCAGTGCCCATAACACTGAAGAAAACAATACAGAGGTTATAACAGTAGATCTTAATAATATCATGATTACCTCTATGTACAAGCCCCCAAATGAAGAGTTTTGTTTCTCCTCTCCTGAGAACTTTGATAGGCACCAAAGGGCAGTAACAACTGGTGACTTTAACAGCCATAGCCATGTATGGGGCTATGCTCAGGAGGATAAAAATGGAGAGGCTGTTCTCTTTGGCTGAACTGCACAAACTATTGCACAAACTATTCATGATAGTAAGCTCCCACCATCCTACAACAGTGGGAGATGTCTTATTTGTCTTATGTGTGAGTGACAGCATTGTGCAGTGGGACTACCAATGCAAAACACACAGCATTGGTTGATAGTATGCCAATTGTTCCCAACTATGAGGCCTCAGAAAGGCAGATTGGTCTAAATTCTCAGATATGTTAGAAGACAAGATCATATTGGTCGCCCCAGTCCCTGAGGATTACAAGTGCTTTATTGAAATAGTCCATTGACAATGCTTCAGGGCAGGCTGCAAACTATGTCCTGCATATAATCAGTTCTGCTTTAGTACAACCTATGTACACCTACTCAAAAACAATGTGTGTCTTGATCGGGAGGATTTGTCACAACTTTAGTAAGTCATCAGTTCTCTTTTAAATGGTTTGGAAACTTTGAACATCATTAGGCAGAGCCTGGGAAAGTTCCTTTTAAGAGGCAACAAGTCCCACAGTCTTACAGCTGACAGGGCCAGGGGTCAGAATGGAAGCATATGTATGTATTGTAGAATTTCAAAAAAGGAATTTTTCAACGTTCTGGTATCAGGGAATTGGAACTCACACTCCTCTCCCTGGAGTATAATTCTAGCTGGGGATTATAATCTGTCGCAAACATTGAGGCTTCAGCCTTCAGTACACCCAATTATGAGATGATTCAATCCTACTACAAGTATGATCGGACACTGAGTGTTTGTAGTTTCCTTGGCGGGTTGCGAAGTGGCAACTGGCGGCCACCCAACACCAACAAGACCTAATAGCGCTGGCAAACTTCCTCTAGATTTTTTTTTCCTTCTCTCTCTCTCATTCTCTTTCTTTCTCTCCCCAGTAAACATTTGATTTAAAAGTCATTTGTTGATTCCCAGCAGCATGTGGACGCCACAAATACTAGCAAACACCTTTCCGGAGCTCAATCGCCTGCCTAAAATGCCCCTCGACCACAAACCGCGCCCCTTTGAGACCATAAAGGGTGACACGGTGAGAAATCCAAGACGTGAAAAGGGATCATCTTGTTCACCGGACCACAAGGCTGAGCAATGCCAGAAAGACTTTTACTCTGAGTTTGGAGGCGCTTTCGCGTTCCCGTTTGGGGGAGAAAAGGCAAAAGAAACAAACAAAAAACCCGACCACTTTGAACTCCCAGCTAATAGGAATCAAAGCTTGTTACCTTGTAGAAACGGTGCAAGAGCAGGTTCCTCCAGCCAAGGTGGAACTGAGAAGGCGCGACCAGGAGCTCGAGGGCTTCAAGTTGCTCCACAAGGCAAGCCCTTCGCTGGGGATTTCATGAAAGAAACTCCCTGCCTTCTTCTCTCTCGCTCTGCCCCACCAGTGATGTCACATCCTGACTGGGTCTAGAGGGGGAGGAGGAGGGCTGCCTTTCCTCGCCCACTGCCTGCTTTCCCTCCCACCTTCTCCTTGTGGCGCTCCTGCCTTGGTCGCCCCAAAGGCTGGGAAAGGAAGAGGAGCCTTGGGAAAGTCAGCCTTGGGAAACTCCCGCGCTGGGTTTCCCCCAAACCCAGGGCCCCCACTCGCTCAGATCCGCTACATTTTCGTTTCTCGTGGCTCCAGTTGAAGACGGACTTTGAGATCAGGTTGCACGCGTGGGAAATTCCAGACGAAAACATTAAAAATCCATCCCGGTTGCTGCCATTCTTCTTCTCACTCTTTACAAGTTTCAGTTATGGGATTTAGCCCGTAAGCTCGTTGTAGTGTTTCTAACTAATGGTTGGAGCCCCCGGTGGCGCAATGGGTCTAAACCATGGTTTAAATGGGTTTGACCATGGAACAACAGACTGGTTCAAGATTGGGAAAGGCCTACGGCAGGGTTGTATACTCTCACTCAACCTATTCAACTTGTATGCAGAATACATCATGAAATGTGCGGGGCTTGACGAATGCAAGGTTGGGATTAACATTGCTGGAAGAAACATTAACAACCTTAGATATGCAGATGTGGCCAGCATGATTGCATGGAGCATCGTTACCGTCCTGCCAGAGCAGTACCTATTGATCTACTCACATTTGCATGTTTTTGAACTGCTAGGTTGGCAGAAGCTGGGGCTGACAGCAGAAGCTCACGCCGCTCCCCGGATTCAAACCTGTGAGCTTTCAGTCAACAAGCTCAGCAGCTCAGCGGTTTAACCCACTGCACCACCGGAGGCTCATTCCGGTACTATTCACTGTGAATTATATCTAATACAATGTACCCTTATAACAACTTTTCGGCTACTTTAAAATCAACATTTGTCTTTCTCTCTTTTATCCTATATATTTTCACTTGATTTTTAAAATGCAGTTACAAAGGCCAGAAAAAGGGAAAGAAGAACAAAAAGTAGAAGAGGCAAATAGAGAAGATATGAACAAGGTCCAAAAGATATAGGCTGCCTGCCCATATTTCCAATAAATCGTTGAGGTCTCTAAATTACAGTTGTGCATCTCTAAAGCAATAAGATATTCTGACCAAAAGTTAAGCTGTTTCAGAAGATAAGAGGACTGCTTTCGTGGTGGAAAAGAGAACAATGTAGTGTCATGGGAGTGGCATGTTAGAGATTAGGCAGAAAAACTATATATATATAGCATCAGAAGCAAAATGAGATTACATTTATAATGTATGGGAAAAACCACAAACAAAGTTAAAAACTTGGCATTATACTAAATTTCCTTTTACCAGAAGCTGACCACTTGGAATACCTTTGGTGTTGTTGTAAGAAGGTCCTCCATTATGCATGTGGCAGAGCTCAGACCACATATGATAGTATGGTTTCCACCTTTTGGGTGCTTCCAAATGAGGCCTTTATTGTGAAATTTTACAGAATATCCTAGAGAGGATATTCACAAATCTTTCTTCTTCTATTTGAAACCCTCTCATACATTTCTTCACCACTTGTTCAATGTTTCCTGTCTTTCCACCCACACATACTCTCAAACAAAATTGTGTTAAGGTGGAAAAGATTGAACAGCTGCACAGTGCTTTTTTTACTGCCAATAATTCAAACTCTTGCCCAGAAGTACACTCAGAGGAATCATTTCATGAAGGCCGTTTTAGTCAGGGAATTGACATAGGGGCAATTTGAGAGAAGTGATGTCTCAGCCCTGTGTCCTGCTGTTAATGAAAATGCTTTGGAGCAAAGAGGGCTTCTCATCCCACTGTTAACCAGCTAAGGTTAAACAGAGAATGTGTATGTGCCTTCCAAATCATCTGTCGAACTGTGAATTTCATAGGATTTTCTTAGGCAGTGTATACTCAAATGTGATCTGGCATTGTCTTGATCTGAAATAATGATGATGATGATGATGATGATGATGATGATTGACAAGAAGCAACTAGAAAAAGCTTACACGATATAAGGATTTAAAGACAGAACGCCAAAGACTCTGGCACAAGCCAGTCAAGGTGGTCCCAGTGGGCTTTTTTTTTTTTTTTGTCGTGTCAGGAGTGACTTGTGGAACTGCAAGTCACTTCTGGTGTGAGAGAATTGGCTGTCTGCCCGGATGTTTTGATGTGTTACCATCATTGTGGGAGGCTTCTCTCATGTCCCCACATAAGGAGCTGGAGCTGATAGAGGGAGCAGATCTGTGCTTTCCCCAGATTTGAACCTGCAACCTGTTGGTCTTCAGTCCTGCTGGCACAGGGGTATAACCCACTGCGCCACTGGGGGCTTCTTCTCCCAGTGGTGATCAGCACACTGGGTGCATTGCCTAAAGACCTTGGCCTGTATTTAATAATAATTGGCACTGACAAAATTGCCATCTGTCAGCTGCAAAAGGCCACCCTACTAGGATCTGCACACATTATTCACCGATACATCACACAGACCTAGACACTTGAGAAGTGTCCAATGTGTGATCAAGTACAAAAACAAGCATAGTGATCTTGTTTCCTGTGTACTAATTTTGTTATGTATCAGATAATAATAATAATAATAATCTTTATTTGTATCTCACCCCCTCTCCCAAAAGGGACTCGGGGTGGCTTACAACAAAATATAGCCTAATACATCTGGTATTCCCTAGTGATCTCTTTTACTATCCAGATCTGACGTTGCTTACTTTCTAAGATCAGACAAGATCCAGTGTCTTTTAGGTATTCAAGCCAATATTGTCATCTTTTGCCCAGCCATAATGATATTTTCTTAGTCCAAGACATTAAAAAATAAACAACACTTGTTTTAAAAGAAAAAAAAGCAGAAGTCAAAAACCACAAAGGTCTCCATGCTTGTACTTGCATTCTTAACCAGCCCATGCTGACACTACAAATCAAGCAGTTTGAGACACAAGAGAGGAAGAAGTGTACCAAAAGAATTTGTCATTCTTCTCTGCCTTTTTAAAGCAATGGATGAGCAGATACCATACAGGAACACTGATGTCTCAAGTTTGCTGGTCTGCTGCTTGTCACAAACCTGTACCCTTCTGCAAGATAACTTTTTTCTCAAGTAACTGATCCTCTGTCACTCTAAATTAGTAGAGTATTTGTTTAAGTAATCATTAAAATTTATTCTGGATCAATTTTGAGTTTACAGGGGGGGAAAAAAACAATTTTTCTATACAACCTTATACCTTTACTACAGTTGCCATGGGTTACTTTCCTGACCAGTTTGTCTCATTGGCTATCAGGACAGGATACAGACATGGCAAATCTATCAATGAGTGTCAGCCATTTCATTTATTTATATATTTATTTATGTATTTACAGTATTTATAGATCACCCTTCATAAAAAATATCAGGATTGCTAAAAGAAATAAAATAAAAAATTACCCCATTGAAGTGCTATAAGAAAGTATAAAACACTTTGCAGACTCAGAGTTTGAAGAAACCATAAGGACCATACAGTGCAAGCCCCTGCTATGTTCACATTGATAGAAAAAAATAGGCCTAGTAAATAAATGATTATAAGGTAAATGCCTGCACATCTACAGGAGTGATATTAAATTTCCTTAGATAACACAGAAATAGAGAAGAACCTCTCCATGGAGTCCCTAGTTTACAATATGAAAAAACCCTCATTCATTTTCTTGTGGTGGACAGAAAGCTAGCTATCCCTTCTCCAAAATCAGTTTTTGTCTTGCTTCTGCCCTATATTTGGTTGAACTTACTGAAATATCTGAAAGGTTAGACTTCCAGTCTTTCTATGTATATCCAAGTTAATGCAGCCATGAGAATTTGTCCAGGAAGTGCCTGAAAACATCTCCGCTTACTATACAAGCTGCCAAGAGCAAAATTTGGAAAGCTTTTCGGTGTCACTTAATACTGCTGCTGTCACATTTGGCACAGATTGAGCAAATTATGAGGAAGTATTACTCATGAGCTCTTGTAAGCAGACAGCTATGGGAAGCACTACAGGGAACAATGATAAAGCAGACCTGAAAGTTAATTCTACCAGTCATACAGATTTAAGAGACAGCACCAGAAAGGGCACCAAAGAATCATGAGTTGCATCATAATGACTTATTTTCCTCTTTAGATGTCTTTGAACGGGATGCTGTCATGTGTTTTGTGAAGGACCACCCCAGAATGAATTAAGAAAGCCACAGCTTGTGCAGGAAACACTTGTGTTCTTGTTAACTGATACTGGAAGGCATGACATGCACATATCCAGTGACGCTGAAGTTATCAGTCTGCCTAGAATTCAATGTGCAAGATCTTATCTACAAAGCCCTAAACATTCAGACTCCTATTTGTTTTCAGAACCGTCTGTTTCTTCCCTCAACATTGCTAGTCACACAGATGTAAAGCTAACTTGCCTGATCCAAGCAATCCGTCCTAGGTGCTATCATTCCACCGAAGAGAAAAGGAAAAGAGAAGAAGGAGCAAAAAAGTGACAGAAGACAATGAATGAAGTATAGAAATAATCTGTTTTCATTGTATGAACACAGCTATTTTTTTGTATCAAATTACATTACTGTGGTGACAATGTGCAAACTTTGCTCAAAAGCTGCTTCTTTACATAATGTTCTTACACCTAGAATAATGAAATATCAATAGGATGATGTTGAATGTTCCTCCTTTCTTTTGATTTCAGAACTTCAAAATCCTTCCCAGGGTTCATCTGTGCGTTTGTCTATCTGTCTATATGGAATCATGCAGGGGAATAGAATAGGTTTGGGAAGTTTCTGATGAAAAGCAACTAGCCAGGCATATTGTATGCTGAAGTTTATTACTGACGAGGATGTTTAACTGGGGAAAAGCAGCAATCAAGCAAATCTGATCTGTTACTGCCTTGCAGTGTGTGCATTTTGGCCCCGAAAGAGACTGTGTTTAATATTCTGATCATCTGTGACTGAGAAGCATCTGTTCAGGTACAAAGCTGGGGTGTTGAGGAACATCTTTCATGGATGATGCGGTTGGCCTTCTGCCTGCTTGCCCTTCTCTGGAGTACAAATATCCTATTATTCAGACAGCTATGGGCCATTACATAGTTGCTCTGGAAGTGTCTTTCAATATGGAGAATTACAGTGTTTCCCTTGTTTATTTTAAATGGTTTCGATTCAGTGCTTGGTCTTAATATAATAGGTTAATGGTCCTTCAATAATATAACTGAGTAGGGTTTTATCACATTTTGCTTTAATTCATGCTGCAATCACATTTGATTCTGCATTAGAAGAACAGTGGGATAGT